AAAGCAGACCCTACCTCCTCTTACTTGTTCCTACCTCCACTGGACACAACACTGTCAGCACAAACCTTCAGGTAGCCACACAGTGAAACAAACAAACCAACCAGCTTAAAAATCACTCTCCCTATTACTTTTCATCCAGACTGATTAAATTTTGCCACTAATTTTTGAGACTACTGCCTCAAAAATAATTACAAATGCTTTCTGGATGCTGCTTGCAAAGAAGAAACACAGGTTAACAAACAGAGGGTAGAAAAGGTCCCCAAATTTTGGAATAGATACCATAAGTGGAATGTCAACTACTTCAATGGATACAACAAGTTTTCTTGAAGTGACAGTATTTCCTACTCTATGTAGCACAAGACTCATCACAGGATGCCTTACTGCAACTGTCACTTCCAGTTGAAAGTATCTGAACAAGCAAAGTTTTGGAAACATTGACCAAAGGTTTTAGGCATGTCTCTCATTAATTTTAGATCTTAATCTATGGCATAGTACAGTCCTAATTTCTAAACAAGTTTAGCATGGAAGAGTGTTTGCCTAAATTCAATATGCATTTCTACAACTGAACTGAATCCATTTCTACAGGAAATTATCCAAACTGTGTATAAAGCTATTAATGTTATAAAGAAACAATAACTATACTTATACTCCTATATTGGTCAGCAACCAATTTGAACATATAACTGATTGCTTAACATAGGCTACTAATATAAAAGTATAAGTTGCTTTTGTTTAATTTGCCTTTTTTTATTAGTTTTAGCAACTCTGAAATAAAAAGATTAAAAGGGACTCCTCACAGGCCTTCTTGTTCCTCAAGTCTTAGAACAGATCTCTCTTTATTCAGGAACTAAGCTACCAACATAGCCCCATAAATTCTCATTTGATTACCTTGTAAGAATTTTTATACTTAAACTGAATTGTTAGACAAAAGGTTAGGAATCACAGTTCAACTGTGAAGTGAATTTTCAAGTTATGATGATTTTGACCCCAGCCTAACTAGTATAATAATAATGATGACATGGCAAAACAAGAGATTCTTCTAGTTAGTATTTGTGTGAATTTTTGTAAATAAGCTCTTAGAAAAGAAGTTAATGGATATTAGAAGAACTGCTAGGAATTTCCTCTTACTACAGATTTCTTTCATCTGAAGAAAACAGGAAGCTGTAGTAGCAGGGACATCCTGTCTTTGTTAGGTTATACTCAGATGCACATCCTCAAATACATGTATCCTATTAATACAGAAGAAGAACAGTCCCTGGAAGAGAAAGAGGAACAAAATCCTTTCTTGTGGACTTTCAATCCTGCAGAAAGGGAAGAAGTGCTACTTTTAAACAAATCTTCAGCATTTTCTCACTATCCTGTACTGAAATAAAAAGCAGTGGTATTGCTGAATTGTATTTCAGTCTTGACTTTCCTTTGAAAATGACTGGGGTGGGGGAAGAACAGGAGTCTGCATATTGCAGAGTACAGGACACTAGCAGTTTCAGTGCCATCAAAGTACAGTGGATCCCAGAATCCCAGAGCGGTCTGGGCTGGAAGGGACATCAAAGAACACCCAGTTTCAACTTGCCAGCCCTGCCAGGATGCAGGCAGGCAATCAGTATTGCAGGCAGCCCTGCTTTTCCCTTCCTCCAGCACAGTGCCACTGCTGGAGCGGTGAAGGAGTCTCATTGTGCTGTGTGCAGAGAGAAGGCAGGAATTCCAGGAGGGGAAAGGTTCCCTTTGAAGCACATGGCACGAAGAGCTTCCCAGTGACCATGGCAACAGCTCAGTGGGTTCCCAGCCTGAGAACCAAGTTACTACAGCCATGCCTCAAAAACAAAAAAAGTCTGAAAGAAGGAGAGAGGGGGAGGTGGGGTCGGGGGTGTGGGGGAGAGAAGCTGAAGCAAAATCAGCCTGGCAGAAACTGAGCGGCTCCCTGGTAGGCAAATCCAGCCAATAATGCTGGTCGGGTTCACGGGGTTTCCTTTTCATTTCCAAAAGCTTTCTTCTTCCTCTGTCATTCCCCTTCTAGCCCTATTCAGGAGCTCATAAGATCAGTAAAACCCAGGCCTTTGCTTTGCCTGCATGCAGCATGGCCTCAAACAGGGCTGCACTGTGATCAAAGGTAATGGTAAAACACAGCTGCCACACACACTCCTTGCCTCAACCAAGGCCCAGTTTTCACGGGAACTCTTTACAGCAGAGACATTATTTTAAACACTTTCATTTCCATTACATCATATAAAGAAGGACAAGCAATGACTAAGAAGGATGAGCAATTACAAAATCAATATGAAAATTACAAAATCAATACGAAAATGGACACATTAAATTCTTCATAGCTACCCGTGGATAAACAACTAGAACTTCCAAAAACACAGGCTAGAGTTTTACTAAAAACAAAATTAAAAAAAAAAACCAATGAAAAATACAAACAAAAATATAAACAAACAAAAACACCACCCCTAAATCAAAAAAGACCTTGACAATCAAAACCAACAATAAGAATAAAACCATACAAAACCTTTTACCAGATTCATGCGCCATGCAGTTTACCTCTACAGCTTTTAACTAGTCTACATTCTACTTCACCGTATTCCAAACTTTCAACAATATTCCCTCTATGATGCCCCACGTTGGGGGCAGGTTAAATCAAACTTAATGAGGAACAAACTGTAGGTTTTCACTCCTTGATTTCTTCCTCCTTTTCTATATGGAAAAAATTTCCTTTCCCTGTTCAAGACCAGGCCTCCCCCATTTCCCTTTCTTTTCCTTCCCCTACTCCTTTCCTTGTCTTTTTCCTTCTCCTTCTATTTTTCCTCTTCTCTCTTCCTCCCTCCTTTCCTCTCCTCTCTCTCTCCATTCGTTTCCCTTTCACATTTTCTTTCAAGTCAGTTGCCAAATTCTAAAAATAACCAGAAGAAGACACATACACACATGCAGCAGGTTTGATATTTACCCAAGCAAAATAGATTACAGGCCACACTGAATCCTCACATAGCAATGTGCGTAACAAATTGCATGGAAACTAAACTTTTCAGAGACCCAGACAATATTCTCACTGGTAAGATAACCAGGCTGGCTTAACTGATAGAGACCTGAAAGAAGCTCAGGGCTGATGCTCCTGCTGTTATCTGCACTCAACAATATTCCAAGAATTATGAGAAGTCCTTCTAAATCAGGACATGAGCAGAGTGAGAACTGAGAAGAAGGTTTGCTAGCAAAAGATGAAGAGGAGGAACTACAACAGAGAGCATGAAATAGGGAATAAATATTTCAGGAAGAGAAGAATAAATACAGAAAATTCAGAACAATGAAATGCAGTGCGCTATTGACTAGAGCCTTGGCCAGGCTTTTTTTACCTGTATGCTACATATAAACTGACATACTTGGAATTCTATGCCCAAATTCTCTGACCACACACTATGTCACATCACCACCATCATGCATCAAAGTAGATGCTTACAGAGCTCCTGAAGCAAAGCCAGAGTCTGCTGTTCAGTAGGCCAAGCTTTAGGAAGCTAACATCAGCAGATACTGAGCTGCACTTATTCTGGAGATTTGGGTGGCTTTGGGGACATGGGGAGTATAGAGGACATGGTGGGATTTGGGCACATAGCAGTGGGCTAGGTACATATTTTTAACTTTTTTTGTGCAGGGTACCCATGGTTCAACTTTCTTTATCCATTATCTATTTCCTCACACAATTTTCAAGAGCCTGACAGATGGGACTGAACAGACTCCTTCCTGAAATGGCTTGCCTCAAGGTTAAACTTACTCCTGGAGTTTACTTATGGATCATTATGCATCTTTCAGGACTGAATCTTTTCTAATTCCCATCCTTACAAGACCTCATCCTCAGATTTTATCTTTCTAAGAACAAAGGAGCAACAGCTAGAATTTCTGTGAAACAAAAACATTTTTCCAAGTTGAAAAAAAAAAGCTGTATTATGCTGAAATTCAACAGAAAGGGAAGTCACTTCTTAAAGAAATGTTTTTCACCATGTACCACAAGCTAAACCTGCAGCAACTTTTAGACAAACAGATGGCCTTCCATTTCCTTGGAAAGGTGAAATTTTTAGAAGTTTTGTTTATAAATTTACAGAGCCAAGTTTAAAAAAAAAAAAAAAAAAGTCAACCTGCAATTTTATTTTCTGCTTGATACACTGCTAACCTGAAGTCACCAACACAATCCTACCCAATTTAGGCAGCTTGGTTTTAGAATGAGCCCCTGTTATGCAGCAGTCTTCAACTACTCAGTTACTGGTAGAACTTGTGGCCTATGCTCTTTCACACACTTTCAAACCCTCTAGACTTTAAATGCCAGCATATAATAACCTAAATATTCACAAATTCTAAGGCATGAACAAAAAAAAGGTCACCTTTCTGCTTTCTTTTTTTACATATCTGGGAGCAGTAAAGGCATCTTAGTGACTTCAACCCATAAAACAAAGAGAAAAGTTTTGCACTTAATTTAAGATTCCAGAAGCCCCAATCCATTGAAAGATTCCAGGATGATGAAAATTTTTATTTTTTTGACCAGTACAATAAGATTCACTTGTTATTAGAGGTGTCTATCCTGCAATGAAAGTGAATAAATCTTTCTAAGTTTGAAAGCTTCTCTTTCCCCAAAAAGAGGAAATTAATTAATGTATTCTCAGAAAATTGTGCCTAAGGAAAACCAGTAAGATGCTTTAATTTTGACTGCTTTGACCAAGTAAGAATCACAGTTGCAGTTCACCCTTTCTACTCCAATACTGCTTCTGCTAAACAGCCATTTTTTGCTTTCATCTTTGTTAGGTTCCTACAGAGCTCAAAAAGGGAATGCTCAGCTGCCCATCACCACCTCTATCAACTGAGTTAGGACAGCATCTTTCCCTGAAGTACCTAGAGTAAAAATAGTCAAAACATTTTGTGGAGTAAGGGGAGTTTTCCCAGTTTATTTCTTGCTGATTTTTCTCAGAAAGAACTAATCCTTCCAAGAAACATTTACATGCAGCCCCAAAGTATCCCCTTACCTTTCCTAAGACAGTGAGACATGGCTTGGGCTCCAACTCTGGCTGTTCCAATTTCACCACTCCTACCCAGCCATATTCATACAGGTCTTCTTCATCATTGCTATTACACAGTCCAAGTGGATGCATCTGAAACAGAATCAGAAAGAAACTTTTAGCCAATCATTAGAATTCAAAACCATACAGACATATAAATAAATAAAATAATAAATAAAAGTATATTTGTTTTAAGCTAAGGTACACCAGAAAAACAACTTTAAGGCTGTATATATGAAGAATTCAGTACATTTCTGAAGCATGCTATAAGTATAAAATCTTTGCAATTTTATGTAGACTGACTGTCATCTTGCATTTATTTTAAGTCCTTTGCTCAGATATAAAATTCTTAACTACAAAGCCCCCCATTGGCATTGCAAATCACCTTTCCTTGCAAACCAAAAGAAATAGCACAAACTGTTTGGCAGAGCACCTTATAAAAGCTTTACACATCATTAAGATCCAGACCCCATGTTTCAGAGCCACTGTCACCTTTTTTATTTTAATAACTGCACAGTATTAACAGGCTGTCATCCTTTGAAACAAGCCTATCACTTATGCAAAAGTAAGATAGAGAAAATTCCTAACCATTGTGAAGTATTCCCTATTGTTTTCTGAACACAAATGATATGGGGAGTAACGCTATCATGAAGTGAGAAACTTCAGTCTCCTTTCAGAGATTTGTGTTTCTTACACTAGGAAATAATATGTCTTTGTTTTAATTTCAGATATTTAATTTGTTCCTCCACTTTCCAATGCTTGGTGTAGTTACTCTAATTAGAGTAGTTACTCTAATTTTATTCTGGCAAGGACCTTCCTAAACAATGTTTGTCTTTTCCAGATGTGCTGTCCTTCCATTGGATAATACCTTTCTGTATAAACTAGAGTGTCATACATCTCACTTCTTATACTGGATACTGTCTCTTCTTGTTCTCTTTTTCCTTAGATTTTTCACAGACCCTTGCCTCTTTTCCAAGCTTTAACATATATTCAGAGGTCTTTGCAAAAATATGTCTGTATTTCATCCAGTTTCATGCCTTCCCTTAAATCTCAACTTTATCAAACTAACTGAAGAAAACCACAAACTGATACAACACTATGACAACTTTGCTTTCTGGTAGCTGATTATAACAGGAGGAGATTATACTGCTCAATAATTTACATATATATACCCCTCACTAATCCATGCAAAATAGCACCATGTAATGGCCCCTAATCCTACCATCACTTCTGCATCACCAGCTTGTCGTTTTGTCCTTTTCTCCTTTTCTCCCATGTCTTGTACCCTGACTTCCATTTTGCAAGTGATACAATACATGGAGTGCTGTTTATATTATCTTGTGGGGCCCTAACTTTCTGAATAACTTGGATGATTACTGTAAAATATGGGAAACATGATGGTGAACTGGCACAATACAGGGATTTTCCTACCACTCATCATTTTTCAAGATTCATCACCAATCCATCCCAAGGAAAAAAAAACAAACAACAAGCCACACTAAGTAGACTCTTAATTCAGCCTTTCTCCCTTTTTTTGTTACCTAGATGAGTTACTATCACACACTGCTAAGCATCTCACATGGATGAGCAATTTAACTTAGTGCTAAAGCTTGGGGAAGTACTATCACTGCAAGATGAACCACTCCATAAACTCAGTATCTGAAGGATAAAACTCTTCAGCACAGACATAAAAACAGAGGACGGAGTCAGGCAGAGTGCTCTCTCTCCTAAACTGCCAGGGCAGTATACCAACATAATTAACCCCACAAAGAGTCCATGGATCCTTTAAGCAAACACAAAGCTTTAATCGATACTAAGTATCTAAAGAAACAGAGAACCATTTCCTTGATGTAATTCCCTTGACATGGGGTCTATCAATTGAGCTTTGAAACCATAACCCATATCTAAGAAGTTTCTAGTTCAAAATCCTTGAAATATGCTGGGGCACTTTCTCCATGCCTAAAAGGGTAAAACTGAAACCACGACTCAGGTGCTTTTATCCAAGGTTACAAAATCTGTATACATTGCTGAGGGTCTAAAATTACTTTATAAAGAGCTGCACCAATTTTATGTGGGTTAGTGTTACAGGGCAGACAAACATTAAACCAACAGATGAAGAATACTTTGCTCTGTAACCCTATCACCTAAAAAGTTCTGATGATTAAAAGAAAACTTTCACCCTTTTGCCCTTTCTTTATGTCTGCCAGGATAAGGCATTATAGTATTACAAAATGCCATATGAACGGCTCAGGATCTTTCTACACACTGTCTCATGTATAGAAAACCTTTGGTCTTTTTTTCCCAACCATAGTGTAAATAACAGCTCTACCCACTTTAGTCCAGAGAAAAAGGACTAAAGGAGGTAGAAGGCCAAAAGGAACAGAAAATTCTTTCCACTGCCACTTTTCTCCAGAATACTGTTATTCTGTGACAGCTTCCAAATGTGAATGACCATCTGGATCAGACTCACCAAGCACACTCTGCAGTTGTGTCCCTGGAAATCAGTATAAAGCTGAAAGAGCTTCTTCTCTTCCTTTTACAAACATGTATTAAAGACTCTGAAAAAACCCCAGAATCAGCACCAAGGCCAGTAAGACATGGGCTTCAATGACAGAAAACTTTCTGTCCAGAAAAGCACTCCACCACTCCAAGCCACAAGCAGTTGGTAGATTCTGCTTAGATACCACAAGCTTACATTGTAGTGATCTCTGTAGATCATGACAGATAAAATATACTGTAATTTTCCAAACCAGGGATATCAACCAAAAGTGCAACATAAGCATGTGAATTTAAGGATTCAAGCCTGAAACACTGGTGTTACTTCTGATTAGGTGCCCACATGGAATGAAACACCATTCACTGGGGCTGATGGTGCTTATGACAGGACTCACCCAGTGCAAGTCTCTGCCATGTTCTCATGGTTTCTTGTCATAATGGCAAGGGAATTAATCCCAGAATCACAGAACACAAAAAAAAGTAAAGGTAAATGAAAATATCTCTCAGGCCCAGGGAGGATTCTGGATTTCTCAATCACAGACATGTTTTACTTTAAACACACTAAACAAAAGGAATTATGGACAACCTACAGTGGCAACAGTAAAACTAATTTTTTTCTGCGAGGCAGAAAATTATCAGTAGCTTCAAATGTCACAGTAAAAAGCAAATTCAAAGCACTACAGTGCACAAGCCTCTAAAAAGGAGCAGAACTATTCAGTCTTTTTGTGAAGACTTGAACTCTTTATTGCTGTACAACCTGAAACAACAGACACTCCATATAGCTTTCCCACCTGGAATGCACTTGGCATAGATTCATCTCTGTCCACATGAATTCACATTCCTTCAGTAGACAGGCTTTTGAAATAAAATTTATGAGGTTTTGCAGTGCTCAAAAGAAAACATAAAAAACTAGTCAACCTGAATAGGAACTCTATCATCAGGGAAAGCTTTCTCTTAAACCAGGTGTAGTCTCTGGTAACTGAAAGGAAGAGAGTTCCTTTCCTGGCTTTCCCCAGGTGTACGGAAGCAGAGCCTGGTAATTCTGTTCAGACTTCAGATACTTTTGGCTACCCAGCCCCTTGGTGCCCTGTCACCACTTCCAGGCTCTAGGTCTTGTTTCCTTCCTCCAATCCCATTTCCCAGGGAAGCTTCTTCTAAAGGAAAGATCCAAAGTCTGAAATGTATCAAGGCTTAAGTGAAATAAGGCAACCAAACAACTGAAGTGTTTTACAGGGAGCAGAAAAACCATTAGTACTCCTCTGCTGGGACTTCTGTAGTAAGCATCTCCTCTGTCAAACCAGCCTTATTAAACACAAAAAGTGGACTGTGAGTGTAAATGCTTTTTTTTAAAATGCAGTAAGTCACCAAACAGATTTTGAACAACTAACAACTTCATTCACCAAAAAGTACTAGAGGATGCAGTGTCTGATTCAGAGACAATCCAGTATTTTGGTGCTAGACTCACTATAAATTGGATGAAATAGAGATAAGGAAAAGGGGGCACACTCACAAATATAGAAATATTCCTTGGAGATGCAGAGAATTAGGAAACCTTTAGGAGCTCAGATTGGCAAGAGATGTCAAGACTAACAAGTATATTAACAACAAGAAGAATTGCAAACAATAAATGTCTGCTATTGAATGGGGTTGACACAAAGCAGTAACAAAGCAAGCAATCAACAGCTGTAAGGAGGGTCGAGTTAGGAATCATCCATGCAAACCAGGCATTAAAGGTGTCCAAGGAATCTGAGAGGATGCCTCAGGTGTCTTATTAGAACTGGCTGCTGTAACTGCAGTGTCAAGCTGTATTATTTTTCATAGGTCATGGAGACTGGGGAAAGGCCACTGATGCCAGGAAAAGAATGCCACACTTATGTGCAAAATCTAAAACGACAGATGTGGGAAACCCCCAGTGCAGTCAGCCTCTCTTCAGTACCTGAGAAAATCATGAACAGATCTTTATGACAGCTATTTCCAGGTACATAAAGAACAAGATGGCAGCTGATAACGCCAATCTGGATTTACTAAGTATACATAAATCATACTTGACCAATCTCTTTATGTTTTCTGATGAAGCAACCTGCCCCATGGATGACAGGAGAGCTGTGGATGTCATCTACCTTGACTTCAGTGAAGCATTTGACATCGCCCTCCTTCAACATCCTTGCTGACAAATTGCCAAGATATGATTACTATCCTGGTTTAATTTTCTTCTTAGCTGTTACAGTGCTGTGTTTCATGGTAAGTGCGAGAATAATGTTGATAACACAATGATGTTTTAGTTGTTGCTATGGAGTGCTTACTCTGTATCAAAAACTTTTCTGTTTCCCATGCTCCACCAGTGAGCAGGTACACAAAAAGCTTAAATTATTATTAAAATAACCAATATGAGACCAAGAAGGCTGAAAACCTGTCATGTTAAGCATTAACAACAGTAATTTTTTGTACTTACTCTGAAATTTTAGCTCCTTACCTATGAAAAGAGAAACTACTTCTTAAGAATTAAAAAAATTCCTTTGTACTCACTCTCCAAGACAGGCTTGAGTCACCTCAGTTGATCGAGATTTAACATTGATTGTCACCACCACTGCAATTTTGATCTTCAGCATAATGCTGCTACTCATACAACAGCATCAC